GTATTTGCATTCATAATACATATAAATTTGTCTTGTTTTTGATACCATTGATGTTATCAAACAAGGAATATAATTCCTGTCTTTCAGATTCATAAAGTACACATTCTGTGATAAAGTGCACTTCATCCTCTATGACTAGGCACTTGATGCATTTTCTGTTCTCAATATTTGTTTTTGGTCGTGTATGTCTACCTGTTTCTATATGTAATTTGTGGCTGCTCAGTCTCAATTTGCTTAGAATTCTGATTGCTTGTCTATCATTAAGCTGATCTATGTATACTTCTTGTTTTATATCATTTTTGAAAAGCTGATATGTTCTGAGTTTTGAATCAGCCCTTTGCATGTCCTTCTTCAAGATAGCAAGACAGTCACTTGCAGAAAGTTTAACTTTGTGACATCTTGGTTAATACTGTATTCCTTTTTAATTTTTGTTAGTCTTGACAGCCAATGATCATTCTGGGTGTGATTCTGCATTTCAATCAATGCATTGTATGCAATATTGTCTTCCTTCAATGAAATCAAGTGTTTGAAATATGTAAATGACTTATAGTGTAAATAATAGACAAGTGGCAGTCTACCAGAATCCATTCTAACTGCTATGTTGCTTGTGTTGTTGATAACATTTAAAACATGTCTACAAAATTTGAGGTAAAATTTTTCAGTACATGTTGTATCCCATTTTTTATTTGTGCACAAGCCCCACCCACACCTCTCCTGCATATGTCAAAATTGGAATTTGTGTGGTTTCAAAAAGTTTGGTTTTGATTGAAGTGTTGTTGTTATCAGCATTCAATATTGATGTTTGTGCTTTTTCTGCTCTTCTGGCTTTCTCAGCAATATGTAATATCAAAGCAATTGGACTTGCAGTTTTTAACAAGAAGTCGAAAATATCACTTTTTACCAAAAATGACAAAAATATTCACCAAAATTAGAGAATTGAAGATATCATCACGAAATGAACAAATCTGAGAAAGGTTTACATGTTACAGTAGTAAATATATATGTAATATCAAAGCAATTGAGCTATTGGTTTTTAACATGAAGTCGAAAATATCACTTTTTACCAAAAATTACAAAAATATTCATCAAAATTAGAGAATTGAAAATATCACAAAATGAACAAATCTGAGAGAGGTCCACATGTAGTACCTATATATGTAATATCAAAGCAATCGGACTTACAGTGTTTAACAAGAAGTTGAAAATATCACTTTATACCAAAAATGACAAAAATATTCACCAAAATTAGAGAATTGAAGATATCATCACGAAATGAACAAATCTGAGAAATCTCTACATGTAGTATCTATATATGTAATATCAAAGCAATTGAACTATTGGTTTTTAACAAGAAGTCGAACATATCACTTTTTCCCAAAAATGGCAAAAATATTCACCAAAATTAGAGAATTGAAGATATCAACATGAAATGAACAAACCTAAGAGAGGTCTACCCAAGGTACATATACACCAAGTATCAAAGCATTCAGGCTTGTAGTTTTCAAGAAGAAGTCGAAAAAGTAAAACATTGACACGAACGACGGACAATCACTCATATGATAAGCTTCGCCCGACAAAGTCGACAGCGGAGCTAAAAAATATTTAAGCCAATAGCAAAGAAGAAAAAAATACTTACTGCAATGTCTTTCATCAGATTCATCATCACAATTATTATGTTTATTGCAGACCAAATCAAACGAAATACACTGATCATTGTCACACTGAAACTCAGGACACTCAACTGGGGGATGCTCTGAAAAAAAAGAATCCAACATCTGAAATTAAACAACTTTAGCTTTACAAACATGAATTACTGTGAAAGAAAACTTAATTCAAAACCCAGGACGCTGCATTATATAACTGCACATTTTTCTATCCTGTGCTTGGCCATTACGTACATAGCATACACTGTACAGGCAATACATATCTCGTTCAAATACAACGCAGATATAAACTGATAAACATCACTCATGTTCATAAATTGTATTTGATCATCACAAACATTGTCCAATCCAGACACATTTGGTTTTGTCATTTTTTTTCTCTTATTTACAAATACACCTGTAAACCCATTGAGCAGCTCTGCAAATACAGATCCAGGGCTTTTTTCTAGAAAAAAACTGCAAGAAGGAGCACTGCAATTCAGTGGAGCCACCAAGTGAGGGAGATCTCCCTACGAGGGTGTGGAGTTTTTGATAATTCTAAGTTAAAATGGAGCATTCTATGGCTACCTTGGGGCCAAAATTACTATCAGACAGGTCATAGTTGAAGACTGTGGCCACATGTGATCCCTGGTCAATCAAAAATTTATGGTTGCCACAGGATCTACTCCCCAGGGTAAGAGGTGCATGGCCATGGCATGAGGGCGCTGCGCCCCTGTTCCCTTGTTTAAACAAATCCCTGCAGATCACCTTGTACACATTAATGTTTTCTCAACCCTAACACACAGGTACAGTTACAACGTTATGCAGTGGAGCATTGAAAGCGAGGGAGTCGCCACCTGCGCATGTGTCAGATGGCCATAGCGTGTCATTGTTTACAAACAAGCATCTACCCATGAGCCTTTTGCATTTTTAGCGTGTGTTGTTATCATCGCTTGGGACTCAATTCTCGCATGTGCGCACCCTCCCACTTTAACTTCTATGTACATGTATATTTTTTTGTAGATGACAGTCACTGCAATTAGCAAGACAGAATCGAAACCAGCACTGAGTTATTCAAGATGCAATGTAGATGAGAACATTTAAAGTTGTACATTGATGAATACATTGAATTACGATTCATCAAGACCTGAAAATGATTTTTTTTTTTAAAGCACAGCTGAGTATTTGTTCAACAAAACAATGAATCTGTTTTGGTACATGCAATTTTGAAAATCATCGCACTTGTGTTTTTGCATTTGTTAACAAACTAATATACAGTATTTTATAGAACAATGTTACTACATGTATATGATGAGTTCAATGCAATTTGATCATCAAGCGTTGACAAATTTATATTTTTGTTCATATTTCATCTTTAATATCAAAGTATCTATTTTTTTACTTACCACACAAACTTGGAAGTTCATCTGATGTATCTTGGCAATCATTATCTCCATCACACACCCATTGTTTTGGAATGCATCGGGCGTTATGGCAACGAAACTCGGTCTGATTATTGCATCTTCTATATTCTGAAGAAAAAAAAAAGTCAATGAAAATCACAGTCCCTGTTGGTACTTTTTCAAAGTGATCTTTTAAGAGCAAAACACTAGATATCCTAAGAATTATCGATAAAAAACAACAACACTATTTCATGTAATGAATGCAGATGACAACTTTATATGCTTTTTTTCAAAACAAGCCATTTATTTTTAAATTAATAATTATTGAAATAAAAAAAATATGAATATATATATTTTGAACACAATCTGTCAAGATATGTGAAAGAATTAATAATCAAGGGCACGTAAAAAGTAAAACATGGCCGGCAACCAGCCATTTGAATCAAATCACTACAAAATATGATATATATCAGTTTTACCAAGTATCTTTGACAAAATCGATCAAAGCATGCTTGATGCGAACAATCATGACTTGTGCTTATCACAAGTTTTGTTTGGTTAGATGGGTGTCTTGTCTCCATGTGTGATAGAGGTGTGACCTAATTTAACGTTTTTGCTAAGATTTTCAGTAATGTAACTTTTTTAATTCTAGTCAGCTATAATGAATACTGTAATCTGAAAGTAGACATTTGGGTCACTCACCACAGCTACGCGGCTCATCAGAGTTATCTCCACAGTCGTTGTCATGGTCACATTTATATATTTCACGAATACAAATACCATTATCACATGTGAATTCAGAGTTATCACAATCTTCATGATCTGGAGAAAAAAACAAAAAAAACAAAAACAGAAATGACATTAGGGATATCATGTCTGCTTATGAAGTGGTGTTTGTGCTGATCGGAAGGTCCCAATTAAGTTCCAATGATACATAGGGATGTCAGTAAAACAAGTCTGGAGTCAATGGTTGCCATTTTGTTAATAAAACAAGCTTGGAGTCAATGGTGGCAATTTTGTCAGTAAAACAATCTTGGAGTCAATGATGGCAATTTTGTCAATAAAACAATCTTGGAGTCAATGGTGGCAATTTTGTCAGTAAAACAAGTTTAGAGACAACGATATACATACCACAACTTGCTTCATCCTCTGCATCATTGCAATCAGCATCTCCATCACATAACCATCGGAGTGGAATACATCTACCTCTTCCAATGATTGGCTCAGTACATGTGAAATATCCCGGACCACAGTTTCTTTCAACTATCCAAACATATAACATTGTCAGTATTTACCCATGCAAACGTTATATACATGTTCCTAGCTCAGGCTTATATTTTTGCAAGAAGCTTCTGGTCTGACTTAATACTTTCCCTGAATTTTAGCAAGAATCTTGGAATCTTTGCACCAGATTCTTATTTTGCTCATGAGAATACTTTCCTGCAATATTTTTGTTGACAGGGAACTCGAAAAGTATTACAAAAGAATTCTAATCAGAATGTCACTCAACCCATTACTAATTAACACAATTTATGTTTGTGAATATCATCTAATTGAACCAGTTACAAATAGTGAATGTTGTTACAGTGCCTTTGACTCTATGCATATTTAAAAACTACATTTCAAAGTGAAATTGAATTAATTTTGTATATTTATTTTAGTTCAAAAAACATCTTTTGTCCGGAGATCAACATGCAGATCAAGAATGCAAGGTGCATACAAGCAAGATCATTGCATGCAAGATCATTGCATGTAAGCATTATTGGGCACGCTTGCACCATCTCTGCATGTGCAGCAAAATTTAATGCAAAACTGAAGCTAGTTTAGTCAAATATTAATACTCAACTACAGAAGCCAAAAGGGAGGCATTACAACAGTGGAAGGTTAAGGAGAGGTTTGAGTCAAACAGAAGATTATATATTAAGTTCGTCATATTTTCATTATCATACCGAAAACGAAAAAAACAAAATTAGGGCCATCAGAAGAATTTTTGAGATACAAGGACTGGCCAAAATTGTCATTTTTAGGATGGTTTCTAAGGTTAGATTATTTATTCATATCTCACAATTTTGCTTGTTGACATACTACATACATATTACTATTGATTATAAAACTAATATTTGGGAAATAATTCAAAAAATACACACAATTTAGTTAGTTTCCGAAGTGATACTAGTTTTTGTTATATGAAATGGGAGGTAATCTCCCATAATGCATTGCATATATGTGCAGTAACATGCTCAGTATTGCAAAATTCAAACCACCTTAATGCTAATACTAATTAATACCACAACTATTAGCAGCATTGTATTAAATTAGGATCAAAAAATATCGAAAGTAAACTATCAAATGAATATAAACAGACCCGGAAAAATCAAATCGTTAGTTGTAGTAACAATCAAAATGAGGAAAATAAATTACGAACATACAGTTTATTCAAAAACACAATTTAAAACTGAAAAATACCTAGATGAAATAAAGGACTTCAGCATGAGAAGAATATTAATAAAATTCAGAATAAGTTACCATAATCTAGAAATTGAATTAGAACGAAGAAGGAAGCCGAAAGTGTAATGTAATGATTAAACAGTGGAAAATGAAATCTATGTTGTTTTAGACTGTGAGCGCTATGAGAAAGAACGAAAATTGCTGTTTATAGAATGTAACATAGGTAATAAATAAACAGAATAGAATAAACAATTTTATAAACATATGCAAACAACAGATTTCCACTAGTTAAATACTTAAAACAAACAATATACAAAAAATAACGTTATTGTTTGTAATTTTGTTTATAGTATTGTTATTGTAATTTTCGCTTTATTGTTGTATTTTTCTTACCATACATTACCCACAGATGGTAATTGTTGAGTAATAAAGTTATTATTATTATTAAACAAGTCATTGAAAATGACACAGTCCCCATTAAATTTTTGAAAGTTCTCTTCGTGCTTGTCATATTAAAGCTAAGGGGTTGTCGCGAAGGTGTCCTTGAAACTTGAGTTCTAAGTGGCGTATACAACAGATTGTTTATTTACATCAAAACATGTGTTTCTTGTAGTAGTAATATGGCCAAAAATAAAAACAGCCGTTGTTCAGCAATCTTTGATCTGATTATGAAACACACTGATATGTATGATGTATGTGCCAAATATGAATGAAAATGGTACATAAATTGTGGAAATATATTAGTAAGGCCGAAAAGTCAGATGGCTGTCAATCTGCCATCCTTGACCAGATTTTGAAACAAATTGTCATGGACATGCATTCTAACATCCTAACAAAGTACATGTATGTGCCAAATTTGAATGAAAACTGACAGAGCACGTCCAAGATACCGCATAAAAAAAACAAAACAAGATGCCTGCCAGTCGACTATCTTTGATCCAATTGCGAAATAAATCGTCATGGACATGTATCCTAACATAATCTATGTACCAAGTTTGAATGACAACTGACAAAGCATGTCCAAAATACAACATTTTCAAAAAACAAGATTGCTGCCAGTCGGCCATTTTGAATCGAATCGCTAAACCACTGCATGTGCATATGTCCCACATAAAGTACTAGGCACATGCAAAGAATGAACAGAATCGGTCCAAGGGATACTGAGATATGACTCCGGACGGACGCACCGACGCACAGATGCACGGACGGAGACCGAATTAAAAGTCCCCGTTTTCGGACTTCGTCCGAACGGGGACTAATAAAAGTTCTTGTTATCATAACTTATTGTGGCTGGCGGTTGAGTCAACAAACAAGCTGCTCTCTGATTGGTTAGAATGTTAGTTGTTAGGGTTAGTTAGCCAATCAAGTACAATCTTGTGAATATTTTCATAATTATAATTGTGGATGCTATGGTTGTAATGATGCAATACATGACATTTCACGAACTTGTTTTGGCTCTTAGCATTACAAAGATATTCTTTGAATCATTCTTACCACAATTGTGTCTTTCATCTTCATCTGAGTGGTCCCCGCAGTCATTATCAGAATCACAGATCCAGTTCAAAGGGATACACCGGCCACTATCACAAGTAAACTGATCGCCAAAACAGGTGAACTCCTCAGTACCTGTGACGGTGAGGACAGAAACAAAATTTATATTATCCATGGATAACTAATATTCAAAATTCTCCAATTTTTTGTTATAGTCATATGTAGCCCTCATAACACTACATATAATTTTTATAACAGAATTTTAGAGATACGATAGAAAGTTTCTGGCTAAGGAAACAATTGTAAACTATTCAAAACATGCATTTTTGTTAAATTTCCAGTAATATTGTTTTTCAAAGGTAGCTTACTACCTTAAAACCACATCCTTAGATAAATTATAAATCCCTGTTGTAAGGATAAAGAAAAAAAAACACATTTTTTCAGACTCGCATTTGTGAAATTTGTCTCTGTAAGAACTAAAAAGAAAACTTTTCTCTATCTGAATTGGGGAAAAAAAATTGTCCAAGTAAAAGTTTGCATGCTGAAAGCTACCGTGGATAAGTTGACAATGTGTTAAAATATTCAAAAAATTTAAAATATTATTTTATATTTCCCCATTAATCTATCAGCGGTGAATAAATCCACCAATGTATTGATCAACATACCACAGCTGCTAGGCTCATCTGACATGTCCCTACAGTCATTATCGCCGTCACAATGCCAGTACGGGGGAATACAACGTCCGCTGGTAACACATCGGAAATCACCACTATTACAAGGTATTCCAACTGAAAAAAAAAAAAAAAGAACAGGATTCGTAAAATACCTCAACGAAATCCTCTTTGTTTTCCAATGAATCCCTGGTTATTATGTATACAACAATGTGAGAGTGGGAGCGCAATCGTTCAGGCCCAAGTGAAGTTCAATGTCTGAATTGCATGACTACGTTATTATCCAGCCTTTAACACGTCAACTATAAAGATCGATTACGTTAGATTTGTACAAACCTCAAGTTTGAAAAATTGTGTACGTTTTTGTTCCGGTTTATTTTTTAAAATGAAACGAATTGAGAATTCTGTTGACCCGCTCTTGTCGGGTGCACCAGGTAACAAAACTTGGAAAAAAATGCAAACATATCATGGAGTACAATAAATTTTGTGATGGTAAAAAGTTGACTTTCACGCTCAAAGGGTAAAAAAATCCATTTAAAGTGCCTGTGCTGCTATTTTCACGCCTAACATTATCCATTGATACATAAATATTATTAATTTTTATGTTTCTAAGCATAAATAATTTTTTTTAAGTGAAAAAATGTGTTTTAAACTCAGTCTACGGCAACTTTATTTTTGTGTATTTTAAAACGAGGCTCCTCATTAGCTTCTCATTTGCATACAGAAATTCCCCTTGTGACGTCAGAAGGGGAAGTCGCATGGCAGCTTGCATTGCCGATACGTGTAAATAAGGCAAATTTCTTGTGCAGTTTTCTCTTCTTTGACTAAATTGTCACTTTAATATGTACTTGTTCGTCGAGGAAGAATAGACCATAATGAACACATAGTATCAATTTTTGTTGCATGGGGTTGAGTTAGATGCGAAATATGTCCGTTCTGGTGTAGCTGGTCACCGTGATGGTCACCGTGATTGTCACCGACACCGGCGCACGTTTGTACACTGTCGCTGAACACAATAGAATTTGACGTCGGAATTATCTCGTTATTTAGCAGGTTACTAAGCACGTCACTACACTGTTTTATTTCATCGATCGTCTGTGTAAAACTTTTAAAATTAAAATAAAAGAGAACATAATTTTACATTCTAAACATTAGACTATAGTGAAAAACGACAAATCACAGTTACTAAATAAATGACAGTTGCGTGGAAATAAATTTACATTTTGTTGAAATAGGTGAACGCGTCGGGTCACGACGAGGGCAAGTTTGTTAAAAGCGGCGTTTAATTGGATAACAAAAATAATCGAGATCGACACACCTACAGATAAATTGAGAGTGGATTCGAGTTAGCGTGATCCATGGCGTGATTGTCATAATTATAACATCATATTAAAACTTTGGTGGAAACACATTGACCAAGCCCGGATTCTTATTTCATAAATTATTACGCAGATCAAGCTGCAAGGACGGAGATAAAAAAAAAGAACAGAGGTGTGAATTCGACATTCAACACCAATCACCAAGCAATTCAGAAACTTTTAGCCTTCGAAAATGAAAACAATTAGCAGTGTGTAAGGGCTGTGTAATTTCCTGTTTGTCCGACGCTTCGTTTTCGTATCACTGTCAAAATTATTACTACCTTTTACTGAATGATCTCTATAAAACTATAATCACGATCGCAAAAAAAGTCAACTCATTTGAAACACTTGCCGGACGTCTCTTCTAAAATCCGCCTCGGTGATCATGGGCTGGTTCGAAATCTATTTCTTTCAAAAGTGTTGTGCCAGGTTTACGTTGTAGGTGTTTCTCTTTAAACATAGTTTTTTTTTTTTTCATGGACAAGGACAGTTTTTCCACACAAAAAAAAAGAATCTGAGGTTAAGTGGCTTTCGTCCACTGATGTCGCACCTTCGGATCGATTAGAAACGTGTGAATACATACACTATGACTATACGTTTCACTGCAACTGCCCACAACACAACATCTGAAAACTCTCTCAAAAAAAATAAAATAGACAAAAAAAAAGAAAAAACGCCAACCGAAAAATGTATATCGTTTAAAACTATACTGAATGACCAGTGTTATCACGGCTCGGGGGTATGACTTCCTCTCACATTTTTATCATTTGGTGGTGCACTTTCGGCGAGAATCGGGAATCCGGAAACAGTCGACCGTTTCAGGATAGGTGGGCGTGGCTACAACACGAGAAATATTCCAAATTTACTTGGATACGAGTAATCATTTTCAGCAAAAAAAACAATAACTGCCCATTTCAGTGGGACACAGATCTGAAATAGGAAACGTGAGGGTGGGCATTGCACAGGCACTTTAAAGACACATAAACTACAAAGATGACCAAAAATTGACAAGACAAATTTACATAAAATACTAAACTGCACATGAGAAAGTCTGTAAAAAAAAAAAAAGGTCAGTGTTTGTCTCAGGGTACATTCCTGATTCTGTTGTGGAACCCCTTCATTGTGTTCCGACATTCCACGGTTTATTTATTCTGAGTATTATTAGGATAGAAATACATCATTCGTTTTCATCACCAACTCAGCATGTCATAGTATAGTTTGAAGAAACAAAATTTGACAAGGAAATCAATATATGTACATACAACAGAAAGTTGTGCTTTCATCAGACATGTCTCCACAGTCATTGTCTCCATCACACAACCAACGGCGTGGTAGGCACAATGTTGAGCTTTCGCACTGGTGGTAACCCGGTGCGCATGTACGTCCAGCTATAAAAAAAACAAAAGCCAGTTGATTAAATATTCTCAATATACAAAGAAGAAGAGAAATGAGAAAGTAATAAGTGTAGAGGAGATTAAGACATATTTGTCTTCAGATATATACTAATGTAACAATAATAATTTCTTATTTTATAGGTGTTCAGTATATTGTACAGGTGTTCGGCATATTGTACAGGTGTTCGGCATATTGTACATGTGTTCGGCATATTGTACATGTGTTCGGTATATTGTACAGGTGTTCAGTATATTGTACAGGTGTTCAGTATATTGTACAGGTGTTCGGCATATTGTACAGGTGTTCGGCATATTGTACAGGTGTTCGGCATATTGTACAGGTGTTCGGCATATTGTACATGTGTTCGGCATATTGTACAGGTGTTCGGCATATTGTACAGGTGTTCAGTATATTGTACAGGTGTTCAGTATATTGTACAGGTGTTCGGCAAAATGTACAGGTGCTCAGTATATTGTACAGGTGTTCAGTATATTGTACAGGTGTTCAGTATATTGTACAGGTGTTCGGCAAAATGTACAGGTGCTCAGTATATTGTACAGGTGCTCAGTATATTGTACAGGTGCTCAGTATATTGTACAGGTGTTCAGTATATTGTACAGGTGTCCAGTATATTGTATAGGTGTTCAGTATATTATATTGTATAGTGTTCAGTATATTATATTGTATAGTGTTCAGTATATTGTATAGGTGTTCAGTATATTGTACTGGTGTTCAGTATATTGTACTGGTGTTCAGTATATTGTATAGGTGTTCAGTATATTGTACAGGTGTTTGGTATATTGTATAGGTGTTCAGTTCATTTTGCATAGCTTCATCACAAAGACATTATAGGAGTCTCCAGTGCAAACTCAACAGCAAATAATAGATACACTCTGTCAATAAAAAAACATTTCCTTTATTTTACCAAACCAAACATGCGATTTTAGACTGTTAGCAAAATTCAAAAACCCAAATCTATGCACACTATTTTTTTTTGTAAATATGAACTGATCTTAGTAATGGATGACCTTCAAAATGTCACACATTTTCGTACTTTCGAGGGATACAAATTTAATAGAAATTTGTTAATCATTAGTTCAAATGAAACACTTTGAGAATTACTTACGAATTAGTTTTTACTATTTAGAACTCACAAATGGCAAATGAGTGTATTTTTCAGTATTATGTGAAAAACAGAAACAAACGACATCAGGCAAAAAACAAAAATAGTTTATCTGAGACTTACACGCCTGATTTCTCACGTATCGCAAAACAATTGAAGGGTCTATTTACGAAAGTACAAAAAAAACATAGTATAAGGTAGAAACAGAAAAGAATTATATAATATATATAATATCAATTTACACTAGTCTGAATTTATTTGTCCATTTTGCATTGAAGTTTAACTAGATATTGGCACAATTGTTATCAGTTTTGAAACTTTGCGTAACCAAGTGGACATCACTATCAGTATGAATATCAAACATGCATGGCGAAGTTCCATGTTTTACATTTGAAAAGTCTCATTTACTGAAATTTCAAAGCTAATGTTTCAAAATCAACAGCATACACAATTTGCCGAAAGCTGATGTCGACTCACAGTATACAGTGGAACAGGTGGCCGCATTGAATTTTACAAGAAATTCAAATAGAACATCTATTTGAAAGAAATTCAAATTAAAGCGAGAGGATCATCACATGCGCATGCGCAGGAATTGAGTTCCAAGCGATGATAACAACACAAGATAAAAACGCAAAGGCTCATGGGCAGATTTTGGGTGTTTGCATTCCTGAGTAAGCCTACTATATAACAACATTTCCCAATGTTTGTGAGCGATTGAAGTAAACTAAATGATTGATCACAATGTTTATCTAAACATAATTCAATGCAAAACAATCCACAAAGCTAAACAAGTACAAATTTAACTAAAATAGCAAGTGCCAATCTGATCAATTAGATCTATTGCAAGAACGTGGGAGAATGTGAGACTTACGACAATCTCGCTCATCTGATTGTTGTCCATCTCGACAATCGTCATGACCATCACAGACATCGTCCTTACTGATACATCGACTATTAGCACATGTAAAATCATTGATTGGGTCACAAGTAGGGAACGCTGCAGAGAAAAAATATAATAAATGGTCACCGCATTCTGTACTAGTCTGGAATCTGGCCATTCTAAGAACACCCAAAAACTGATCTCTTGATACGTAGTTGGCAAAATATTCTGTTTCATCACATTACTTTTTCAGTGTATTACCATGGGATTACGCAAGGACAGCTGACCAGTAGGCAAGACCTACCCACCCAACTCGCTAGTCTATTATTCATATTTTTTTCAAAGTCTCGTGATCATAGACGACACCACGTCTATATATTCTGCACCAGTAATACACAATACAGGACCAATACAATTCAAATACGCTACAAAGTCAATGTTTGATCCAATATCACCTAAATTGTTGAGCCAAATGATTATAGGTCCTAGGTCTAGTTACATTCCCAAAGAATGTAAAAATAAACAATAATACTGTTTTGAGCAAAACTCATGTTCATGTCAAATTGCAAACATGCTGTAGAATTTTGTGAGGGTCATGAAAACAGGAAGTTGAATTGTGGTCTCATTCCATGTACCAATATGGTGGCATCTCTTATATGAAATGCATTGCATTATGGGTACATCATATGCTATTTCAGTGCCAACTGGTCAAGAACTTAAGGTATAAGCCCCTCAAAACTTTTTAGAAATCACATGACAGTGTTTATTAGTTTATTGTGTAAAATCATGAAGTCAATGTTCCGTGATACCATTAAATAAAATTTTGTCATGATACCATTAAATAAAATTTTGTGTTCCAGTGACATACATTGTATTTGAGATTGTCCTAACATTTTTTTAAAAATCGCTCTGTTTAATAGAGCACAATTATAACGAAATAATTTAAGATATGATATATTATCTCCACCATAGGAAGCTGTGGTAAAAGCATTACAATACTGTCAAAATGGCCATTATCCACTAAAATACAACTATCATTCTTCCAAAAATTAAGGTGGTGACCCCCAACTTTTTTTAAATCAATATCCTTATATTGCCCAGAAGTACAATTGATTGAAAAATGAATGAATTCTGGGTATTCCCATTCATGATTAGAGTTCTACATTAAGAGGTTGTAAAATATTAATTAAAATAGTATACATGTAATGTTAATTCTCAATAGTTGATGAAATCAAGAATCAGTAACGACATCAACATTAGAATGTAGATCAACTTACGGCAATCAATTTCATCACTGCCATCTCGACAATCGTCATCGTAATCGCACCTCCAGCTGAGAAAGATACAGCGGCCATTATTGCAAGTAAAATCAGTTTGCCTGCATGTATGTTCAACTGTGAATAAAAAAAGTCACAAGAAAAAAATACTGTAAATCAGTGAAACTATAATGCAGGTTTGTTATTTGATCCAAGCAGGAGTGACATAATTCTCATTATTATACATCAGACAAAAAACTGGATGGAAGTATTTTAATTAAGGTACAGAAGAAAACTTTATTTTTGCTTGAAATTAATTTTTGCTATTTTCGCTGAAGGAATGATTCAGTGAAAATAAAATCCAGCGAATATACCTTTTTTCCTATATTTTACATTCAACTTGTCAAAAAATCAGTGAAAATAAATTCCATACAAGGCACCAAAAATGTCTTTTCAGCAAACATTATTTCCAGCTAAAATATAGTATTTCACAGTATTACAGATGTTTTCCTGATTTCGAAAATGCATGAAAATGAGAGAAAACACACTGAGAATTTACCAATTATATCTATGTCATGTGATGGTTATCAACCAATCAGGTTTGAGAATATTGCAAAGTTTGTACAAAGGACAGAACAGCAAGAGTATATCAACTAATGCACAGCCTCAAAGGACTGATGCATCGCAATGGACGACGTGATTGTGTACTATCTGAGTGCATACTTTGCAGAATCCTTGTAATAACCTTACATGTGTAAATTATTATAATATAATTATACATCTTCCCAATTCAACCGACTGCTATGTGAAGATCAGAACTCAGCTTTGAACTGAACTTTGTTTTCAAAAATGTCCACCATCTTGTAATTACTACGTAATCGTTTCATATTTGGAGTTTTCTAATAAAGTAGTATGCAGATACTCCATTGAATACTGAAAAACTATGGCACACTACAATACAGAGGTACTGTTCTAGATGTACACAATAACACTGATTAATTATTAAGTAGATGTACATGCTGATCTATTAGATCATGGAAGTGAGGGAACATAGTCACATGATAGTCACATGACATAAACGGACAAATCATGTTCACCTGTTATAATACAACATTTAAGGAAACAGCAATTACTAATATTTTATAAAATTTTCCAAAAATGTAGCGTAGTATTAAGCTTACAGCACATGAAATCTGCCTCGTCTGACGAATCACCGCAATCGTTGTCAATATCGCAGACCCAACGCATTGAAATACAACGGCCAGTATTGACACATGTGAAATCCTCTTCACAGTTTGAATCAACAGCTGCAAAAAAACAAAAAAAACACACATGTAGAACTAGTGTTTCAATTGATCCAAAAAACAAATTCAATTGTTAGCACATGTAAACTATGAGTGCTCTCACCTATATTGTGTCATATTACTGTAAATTACTTTATTTTCGCTTGGAATTAATTTTCGCTACCGATATTTTCGCTGAAGAGATGATTCAGTGAAAATAAAATCTAGTGAATATGATCTTTTTCTTATTTTTCACCTTCAACTCATCAAAAATCAGGGAAAATAAATTTCCTACAAAACGCCCAAAAAGTTTTCTAAGAAAATTAATTCGAGCTGAAATAAAGTATTTTACAGTATTATATCTATAACTCATGGTTGGTGGTAATCTTAAGGGCTGAATAAAATTAAGTCATTGACACAATATGGTAGTCTACATGTTTGCACTGAATTTAAACTTAAAAGTCTGAACAGACTTTCACCCTGTTCTACATAATATCAAAAAATCAGATAAAAAAAATCAATGTTTCAAAAATAATTTTTAAAAGCAGTTTCCCTTCCTCTCTTTTTCAAGTCAATAGTTTTGAATAGATGCCATGGTTGTATTTCAAATATTTTATATTTAATAATACTATAAAATCAGAATTACCAACTTCTTCAATATTGCCAGAACCATGTTTATAAATTCCTAATTTATTTTGATGAACATACGCGTGTGAATTTCTTGTAAACAAACAATGTACTTTTACATGCATTGCATGCATTGCATACGTCACCATGAGTCTCATATCGAACAGGACACGGCGCAATGAACATCGCCCCTTTAAGCAGTATTATGGGATATATTTTATTTGCAGCCTTTGACATGTAGTGTGTGCCATATACCAACTGCTACAATTATGGTATTAGTAAGGTGAACAGTTGTTTGCAATATTACCAAGTATTTCAAAGATTTGGTTGTGATTGTGTTTTCGGCATCTTAGAATGTCATCAAATAGTGTACGATAAATAGCAGTCCAGTTCTTATACATTTTCGGTCACTTCCAATTTGGATGATATTTATGATACTAGACATGGAATATTTCATTTCATGACTTAGCGACACATTACGACACACTAACTACTGATTTATGGATCAATTTATTTAACACGTTAAAATTACAATTGAAGAACAGCCGAAAAATGTCAAAAATCAGTAAGAACAATCAGAGAAAAAAAATGTGATAACTTACGAACACACATTCTTCCATTATTAGCAATTTTAAGGTTCTCCCCGTCTGGACACGAGCACTCTGTGGCCAGATTTGGCGCTGGCGTACAGATATGGCTACAGCCACCATTGTAGATATCACATACAGTTGTGTTACCTATAAATAAGATAAAACATAGCAAAACTATAGAAACCTTGATCATTTTTGTACTCGCTTGGTAAACACATACCTAAATTTGGCTCGGTATTTCACGAAGTAAAACATAGTATAATTATTACAACCTTGTTTATTAAGAATTAATTTATTAAATAATGAATGAGAATTCAGGCTGACCACAAACTAAACTTGTTGTTATGCGATTATCCAAATAATATATTATGAAAATGCATAAAAGTTCCTAAATAGTATTATAAAGCAAAATTTTGCCGAAAAATTCAGGCTAGACTTTCGGCAGGAAAAATACTTTATACGTACATGTATCTATTTTGAATGGCTATAAACTATTATATTGTAACCACAAGAACAAAATTTACGCTAGATTAACAACATCATTGAAACACAATCAACTAGGACAGACATTTTTTCGTCCATATATCTATTTTTTTACCTGAAAATTTTACATGCTAATTATACCACAAATGAACTTTGATATTTTATAGTGAATGTTAAGATTTCCAAGATTGAAAATGATCAGAAATGAATTGTTTGACTGATTGTAAGCACTTGACAATTTTAACTTACATAGGCACCAGTATCTAGTACTGTAGAAGTAGAAATTATTCGTGTGGTTTTAATTTCGCGATGAGTCCAAAGCACTTGGACTTGTGGTTTTTCACAAGAAGTCAAAAATATCATTTTTTACCAAAAATCACAAAAAATATTTACCAAAATTAGAGAATTAAAGATATCACCACAAAATGAACAAGCAGCCTGTTGGCTGAGATAGCTCCGCTGTTAGCAATGCACATGGCAATTAAAGAAGAGAAGATATCATTAGAAAATGAACAAATCTGAGAGAGGTCCACATGTAGTACCTATATGTATAATATATCAAAGCAATTGGACTTGCGGTTTTCAACAAGAAGTCGAAAATATCACTTTTTACCAAAAATCACAAAAATATTTACCAAAATTAGAGAATTAAAGATATCACCACAAAATGAACAAATCTGAGAGAGGTCCACATGTAGTACCTATATATGTAATATCAAAGCAATTGGACTTGCGGTTTTTAACAAGAAGTTGAAAATATCACTTTTTACCAAAAATGACAAAAATATTCAGCAAAATTAGAGAATTGAAGATAACATCATGAATTGAACAAATCTAAGAGAGGTTTACCCAAGGTACATATATACCAAGTATCAAAGCATTCATTCAGGCTTGCAGTTTGCAAAAAGAAGTCGAAAACGTTGACATGGATGTCAGCGGACAATCACTCATATGATAAGCTCTGCTTGACAAAGTCAACAGCGCAGCTAAAAATAAATGCATATTACATTAAATATGCTGAGTATTTTTTGTTACCAGGTGAAATTAATCAATTCATATGGCCAAAACGGTCAAAACGATGTTGGTTATACATATATGGACATTTTTCCCTGATCGTACGGCAAACACTTGTTTTCTAAGGGATGATACTTTTTGTATAACTTCCTAGTCCGTCTGGAAACATTATTCACTTAGTATTTAAAATAAAGAATACAGTAAATAGACTGCAATGAACTGCAAATAGTTGTTGTGTAATAGTGGTAGGCGTGCATGAAATAACCATTCCATTAGAAGCTGCACAAGACATTGACTGACTACTTCATGTGGTGTGACCCTTCATTTTATTTTGCGACAATCCGCGATAGTTAAACACTGCGAAATACTTGGACAGCTCAAAACTGCGAAATTAAATACTTGTTTCTACAGTACATAACATTGAACTTGGCTGAGATCTAACACTGTTTAATACCACATCAAAGTTTTGAAAAGAATTGCTAAAAACTATTATATTGTAATCACAAGAAAAAAATTTACGCTAGATTAACAACAATATTGACAACAACATCAACGACAACAAGGACAGACATTTTCCTTCCATATATCTTTCCCTTCAACTATGATAATACAGTCAAAGCAAGGATGAAAAATTTGTGAAAACGCACCTTTAAAGTTGTAAATCATTCATAAGCTTTATTTTAGTCATGTGACTATCATGACATATTTGAAAATCAAAATTTGCACAAATAATATCAGCTTTCTAATTGGTCGGGTGATTGAACTTCCTTAGCTGCCGTAAATGAAAAGAACGGATTTACAAAGATCCACTTCTGTTTTTAATAACTTTAGACTTTAGGGTTTGAAATAAGACAGAATGTAGCACACTTTACCCCCCCCCCCCCCCCACAGAAAGCATGCAAATTCAGACCATTGTAGTCGCCAGATTTGGGGTTTAAAGCTCTATAAATGCTTTCAAGAGGAACAATTTGAGCTGTACCATGAACAGCTTTTTACTGATAAATTGTAATAAACTACATCAGAATACATTAACATTAAACTTATTTCCAATAAACTGTTGAACTCACATTGTTGGCGATCTTCAGCATAAGCATGTATATCCATGGGCATGTTCGAAAGTCCCTGAACTAATGTGACCTCTCCAGCACCGGTATGCTTTTCGGCTTTAAAGACAGCCATTAACTCCACATCGGTCCAATAGATATAATTACCATATAAGGTCATGCCATGGGAGAGTATCGAATGACTGATGACAACTTCACGATTGCTCCCATCAATGTTAATTCTCTCAATTTTATTTCTGAAAGGCAATAAAATATACATTGCTGAAAACTAAATCAACACGCACTGAAAATGATAAGTCCCTGTTCTGTACTAGCAGCAGTTCAGAAGTGTGGGTGTAAATTTGATCAAGTCACACAACATCACACAACCTATGGAACAACTTATGAGTATAGTACTTAATTGCAAACTCTCAACTGAATCTAGCGATATATAAGGAAAGAATAGTCATGGACATGAACAAAAAAATAGCCGCTCTTCCGCTTCTTCTTCTTCTTCTTCTTCTTCTTCTTCTTCAAAAAAAAAAATATGTATGATGTGCACCACTCTCCTTTGCAGAGTCTTTGAGCTTATGACCTGGCCTAGTGAGCCACAGAGAGCTGCAACTAGACTCTGTCACAGGCTAATTTGAATAATAATGACCAGATCTACTTTTTGCTTTGCCATGAGCACATTCGCGTTGTCGTGGGGTGCCTCAAGCGGCGTGGCAGTGGTTACCCATGGCAACAAAAGGGTTCCCCAAGGAAGTAGATGCATTGGATCATTGCTACATGTATGCGAGAGAGACTCATGTAAAATGTATGAAATTTATTTTAAAATCACGTCAGCTTGCATTTTATGTTTGAGAAAATTATCTAAACATCTTTTTACCTATCGATTTTGTTGTTTGCCAACTTTTTCCCAACCTTCCCCAGCTTTGCATGGACGTGTGGTAAAACCTTCCCCACGTGGCATAGCAGACGAACGAAGAAAACTAGGCGAAGAAGTGAGCGCATTATACGTTGAATCAACGATTCACATCTATGTTTCCTACCACAGGATCTACTTTTTCATTATTTTAACATTTTGAAAAGATTTTAGCACTGAATGTAAACATATTTGATGTATTTATTTTAAATAACACACAATTCTTCCAAAAGAAGCTTAGGATATAACAAACAAATCAATTTTAAACAAGCAGCTTGTCGACTGAGATAGCTCCACTGTTAGCATTGGACATTTCATTTCCAGAAGTCGAAAATATAACTTTTTACCAAAAATTACAAAAATAATCACTAAAATTAGAGAATTAAAGATATCATCACGAAATGAACAATTCTGAGAGAGGTCCAAATGTAGTATCTATATATGTAATATCAAAGCAATTGGACTTGCGGTTTTTAACAAGAACTTGAAAATATCACTTTTTACCAAAAATGAAGATATTGAAGATATCATCATGAAATGAACAAATCTAAGAGAGGTCTACCCAAGGTACATATACACCAAGTATCAAAGCATTAAGGCTTGTAATTTTCAAGAAGAAGTCAAAAAAGTAAAACATTGACACAGACGACGACGAACAATTACTCATATGATAAGCTCCGCTCGACAATGTCGACACGGAGCTAAAAAAGAAAACAGAAAACTTTAAGACAAGAAGAGAAACACGAGCGATGTAGTCAAACAACAGACATTATGGCAGCCATGTTTGTTTCACCTCTATCAATACAGTATTACCCATGATGCACTATTTCCATAAGCATGGGTACATGTATGTGGAAGTTCATTGCCAAGCGTACTGCGGTCAAGAACAAGGTAAGAAATTACGTGACGAGACCAACCTGATTTGCCTTCGGTTTCCGGGTTCGGGTGCGTTTCATAAAATATATAATTATATACAAGAAGATCGATACGCACTACACCGCCGAGTGTAGTAGAAACACTCCCAATGGCAATAGGAAGTTCGAAGGAAGCTAATACAGTTGATATATAAAAGACGAAGTAAATGGAAATCACTCAGTCCTCGTGAAGGCACAAACGTATTTAAATGAGTTGGTGAACAGGAGACGATGGCAATTCCACGTTGTGGCAGATTTACACACTACTACAGTTCGACTAAAGTTTACAAACACCGCAAGTCGTATAATGCCAAAACAGTAACATAATTTCACAACTTTCGAAATATGTACGAACGGGAAAACTTTTACTGGTGGACATGGACACTTGAAAGAGCAGCCCACAAAGCTTATCACACAAAGCCTAAACTATCAGAAATTCGTACCACATAATCCGAGTGATGGTATAACAAAATAACTCAGCATTTGTAAATTCAATCCATCGAAAAAGTATAAAAAACATTTTCATAAACAATTTTTATTATATAAATACACTTTGAAAAGAAACATGATTCATAAACATAAATCTATTTGAATACATTCTCACTAAAAATTACACAATACTTATTTTTCGATGGTGTTTCTTCACAGCACAAACTCTTTAAATCATGCACACGTGTGAGTACTTTGGTGACACATTTTATAGCTACGCCCAAAATAGTCCATTATTTATTGCGCAACTGTGACCAAACAATATTATTCTGTTAACATCCACACATTTTCATAAAATCTCTATGCACTTTTTGACCATTCATAAATAAAATACACTGCAATTTATTCCAGAAAACCAATTTCGTTGTACATTCCTACATTCTTGCATATTAAATGAGGGGTTCAGACACATTCCAAGCAGAACATTCTCTTGAACTAATAACAAAGATGGTCAATCCTTTCCCAGCAATAATAAGGTTATTACAAGGATACCGAAAAGTATGCACTCAAGACAGTACCGCTGCTGCATCGACCTCCGTTGCACATCGATCGATACTACCGCTGTGATGTCTTCGTGCATGATTTGCAGTATCCTCGTAATAACCTCATATTATCATTACAGGTTGAAAGCAGGTTATAAAGCAGAATAAAGTCTGAATTGGTAACATCAGCCATTTCTTAAATAACATACAAGTTGCAATTACGATGTAATCAAGATGGTTCGAAAATAGATGCATGATATTAAAATTTCAATAATTGACCAATCACAAATATCGTACAGAACATACATATACATAACACTGTGTAAGAGGTTAACTACATGGATCATCAAGACTTTGACATTTAATGTTTCTACTTTCAACACTTACCGCTCATTGTCGCACCAATATAATTTATTTTCATCATAGTCTATAGTCAAACCACCTGGAGATCCAATATCTGTAGATACAAACTGTTCTCGATAGTTGCCGGACATTGTTGAACGCTCTATCAGAGAAAGCTGCCCCCGGCTAATCCAATAAATCTGCCTGCAAAGAATGAAGAAAACTTTCCAGCAACATAATTCATTCAAATCACAAGTCAAAATTGACGTGACAGTGTTTGTTATGCAGCAGTAAACAAAACTGTCAGTCAGCATGACAGTGTTTGTTATGCAGCAGTAAACAAAACTGTCAGTCAGCCATTTTGAATCAGAACCTGAATAATAATGTGGTCACCATTCTGGCGTTTTTAATTGGATTGTGAAACAAATGCATGTGTACAAGTGAGGCGTGATATATGATGTATGTGTAAAGTTTGAACATGAATGATCAAGACAAGTCGAAGATATGACTCCACATCAGCAATTATTAACAAAATGGCCTTCTGTCGGCTATTTTTAATATGATCAGCAAAACAAAGTGACATGCATCAAGGTTCCATAATGTCGAAAGTTTAAATGTAGTCTATTTATACATGGCCAGAATGACAAAAATGCTTGATTTAATTAATTTTTAGCACTAAAATGACCAACACTTGGGCATCATGAATCTGATCACAAAACGAATGTAACATGCATGATTACGTATTCCCAAATGTGTATGTTTGAATGTCATTTTACAGACATTTCAGAAATACGATTCAGGAACAGCATTCGTTTTAATATAATCTGCAAAACAAAATGACATGCATGAAGCTCCCATAATGTACATGTATATTCTTGCATTGAATAAGATTCTGCCATTCATAACTGAGATCTGGTTTAAGTATGACAGCAATGCTTGATGAAGAATTCATAGCACAAACATGGCTACCATTCAGCCATCTCGAATAATATCAAAATTTAAATGCATATGTATCCCTAGATGCATAATGTACATGTAATGTGTAACATTTGAAAATGACCATTCAGGCATATCCAAGATCAAGTTTAAGTCTCTGTTTCTGACTTTGTGCGAACAGCGACTACAAATTTCCACAAAATTGATACAATTATCAAATCAATGTACATACCCCTTACATGGGTCCACGATGATTCCTCTTGGATTGTTAGCATTATTAATTATTGTCATTCTGTCAGTGCCATCCATGTTAATTGCGAAAATAATTGATGATAACAAGTCAGTCACATATATCTTTTTGTTAACCCAGTCAAAAGCAATGCCAGACAGCATGTTCACATCTGAAGATTAAAAAAAGATATATCATGGATACAGTTAATTGTTAACAACGACAACAACGACAACGGTAAGCATTACACCTTACCTGTAGTGTATATTATTATTACAGGCAAGATCAAGGGTCAAAAGATATTGATATATAATATATAATAATCTTTTCAAATAACATAACTGTTTCCATCAAATTTTATGCATTTTTTCTAAAAATTTTTGGTTAATTTTGAAACAAACAAGCATATTAATTTCCCATTAGCTATGTGTTTCGATCAAAATCTTTGAAGAAATATCGACATGATACAGGCTTAAATGCACGAAAAATGACAAAAGGGTTTAGGTTAAAACCTACATTTAGCTTTCTTGAGATTGTTTTATGCAACTCATCAACTTCGTACTCATGAAGAGGTTTATTGATTTCTTATCTGACGTGTAAATTTAAAAAAACATGTTTCGCAAAATAAACCCATTAAATGCCAATGTTAGCATTTAATACCATTCATAAAATTATACATGTATGTTATATTTCAGAACTGCAGCTAATAGAAAATTATGTCTATTTGGTTCAAAAATTATCAAAAATATCAAGTATCAAAGCATTCAGTTTTCAAGAAGAAGTTGAAAAAGTGAAAAAGTTGACACAAACGACACCGGACTGACAAGCTCCGCTTGACAAAGTCGACAGCAGAGCTAAAAATGGGTAAAATGCAAAAATTCTGGCATTCAAGGATTAAAGCATTTTTATACAGAATATATATCAAATTTGTTTGACTTCAAAAGTAAACAATAAATTTGCATTCAGTCACAAAATTAGTGTGGTACAGTTACTGTTGTGCAAAAACACAAATAAACACATATTAAAAATCAAGATGTGAAAAGTTTATTTCTGAATCATACAAGAAAATTAAACAACTCAAAACATATTTCACAATTCCTTTCAAAAAAAAACACAAATGAACATTAACGAGACTGAACTGACCTTCGTCTGTTACAATCACAGGGTCACTACTTGGGTCATCCAATGCACGATATCGAACAGAACTGGTAAATATTTCTGTGTAGAACAACAGCTTTTCTTGGTAGTCAAAATCCAAACTATAAGTGCGGCCAGGAACAGTCATAGGTGGCCTTGGCTGAGAATGATCTGTGGCATCAAAGTGCAAACTCCGAACCTGACCTTCATTGGCAAGGAGCAGGAAAGCATCAACATCTGAAAAGGCAACATAATCGTGAGCTTCCTCTTATGATCAAAGCCATTGTTAATTGCTTTAACAATAATTCACCATCAATGATCTATTTGGTTGAAATTGGATTTGAAATCTTTGATGATCAAATTTGATACCACACTGATCAAAATTTGAAATCTTTGATCAAATTTGACACCGTTGATATAAAATTTGAAATATTTGATACTACTGATCAAAATTTTAAATCTTTGATCAAATTTGATATCACCTAACATAATTTGAAATCTTTGATACTACAAATCAAAATTGAATATCTTTGATCAAAATTAAAATTACCTCCGCAGCTTTTACCATCATTCAGCAAAGTTCCTGTCGCACAAGCACAATGAAAGCTATTGTCTGGTCTCCCAAAACAAAGCTGCTGACAGTCGCCATTGGAAGTGTAACACCCTCCTGGGTTAGCACCTGCAAGTCATGAAACAAACATTGTTTACAAAAAACAGTATTTTATATCTCAAAGTAGTTGCACACCATTTTAGAAAGTTTTGGACAAAAATAAAAAAAAATGTCAGCAAGATAATTATATGTTGTTCAATAAATCCTGGAATTTAGCTATACCAAGTACACTCAAGAATGAGCTGGTGAATCTATAATTAACTATGCAGTCGGTCCAGAATTCTGTGATTGACTTAGGGCATTACTATGGAAACACACTTGTGCATACTTCAGACCAATTCAGTCTATTTATTATATGTAGATTTTTCCAAAGTTTCAAGATCATATGAATCCATTTCACTTTATACACTAATAGGTACTTATAAAACTATGTACTGTAGAATACTTTATTTTCGATTAGAATTAATATTCGCTGATGGCATGTTTCAGTGAAAATAAAATCCAGTGAAACAGCGTCCGGATTACTTTCGGAAATTCCGTCGCGTTTCGGAAAGTTTTAATTTTCAAAACTTTTGAATATTTATTTGTGCTTTTAGGTTAGTGAGAAGGTTATAATAATTCTTCATTTCACTTTAACACTGTTTTTACACCCCTCAGACCCCTTTAAAAAGTCACTTCTGGCCATTATAATGGCCACTATTTTCTTAATGGCCAGAGTATTGACCAGAATTTTTTAGGTGGCCAAAATATTTACCAGTGTTTTTAAAATGGCGGTTTTAATGACCCATGTTTTTTATACTGGTCAGAATAATTACAATTGCTTTTTAAATGATGGAGTTGATGAACATTTTTTTTTTTTGATGGGCAGTATAATGGTCATTTTATTTTTCATTACATACATAAAATGACCAGTATTTTTGTTCATGTCTCTAAATATAATGGCCCAGAAAACAGCCTCAATATACGTGTGGGAATTTATTTTTCCCAAGTTTTACTGAAGCTTGCAAGTACACTT